AGTTCAAATTTAGATGTCACCCTACTTTCTCAAAATAATACATCTCACGTATTTAGTTTTTTTTTTTTTGGTTGTAGGAACATCTTGCAAATAAACTATATAACTTGTGAAAATGCTAGGTGGAATAATGAAAAGTTACATGTAACAACATCATTTAGGTCCCTTGGTGGGACAGCGGTAAGTTTACGAACTTACAATGCTAAAACCAGGATTCGATTCCCCGCGATGGACACAGCAGATAGCCAAATGTGCTTTGTTCTAAAGCAAACAAACAAGCATCATTCAATAGTTTAGAAAACATTAAAACTGATACTATATATCAAAAACAATTAACAGTTTCTTATTACTCTGTAGCGGTTTTGAATTTTGCACATTTTGTTCTGTTTTAGACGGGTTTTTTAAAAAGTGTATATATATATAATGAATGTTGATTTTTGCTGTTGTTTTATTACTTTTGACTCAGTGGTTAGGAAACTGTGTGGGTCGGTTGTGGAATCGAAACCTTTCGCTGAATCTGCTCGCCCTTTTGAACTGTGATCACACGAGGCACTGTGTGCGTATTACATTATACAGTTTCCTCGTGTGTAGACTTGGGACAATCACTACGTCAAAGTATCATGATTGAGAGGAAGTGGCAATCCTTGCTTTCCAAACCATCAAGGGCTGTTTACAATACAGTGTACACACTACATTATGTAATTTCTTCTTGATTATTATGAAGCTAAGACGGCTTATCTCAGTACATGTAGTGCTTAATGCATCACCAGTTTTCACAAGGAGATATGATAGTGAGGAACTGGAAAACTCAGATGAAATTGTGTTGTGACCCTTGCATTCTCAACCTTCATGTAATATTTTGAAGTGTAATGTATGTGATACATTGTATGATTACCACTTGAACATGTGAAGCTAAGACAGTTTGTTGATTGCAAGATTAATGGAACCTAATGGACTTTGTGACCCTTACTTTTTGAGTTATTGAGCAACATTAGAAAACAAGAGATATCCATAGGATATTGGATGATAGCTACTTGATTAACACAGTTTAGGACATATGGTGCAAGTAAATTTAATGCTTAAAGCATCAAAATTTTGCATAATCAAAGATGGTAGTTATAAATTCGAAACACAATTAAAGGAATTTTCGGCCATTTCTTTCTGAGAAAAATGTTTCAATTTCGACATTGAAATATTCTAGCAGATAGTGAATTTTCATCGAAAAATAAGAGTAATGGTGAGACTCATACTATGACCAAGAGGAAACACGGTTTTGCTTATTGTTTTTCGGTAATGGTAGCGCAGTACTATCTCTGAGAGAAAATGTAGTTTTAATTGTTGTTTTTCAATAAGAGCAGTGCAAGATATTGTTGCGTCAGCGAGATCACGTGACTATTCTCACGCCCTCTGCTTTCTAGAACTATCCTGTACCTTGGCGAATGCTCTAGCATTTACTAGATATAGGGTAGTCTGGTATATATAAAAGGGTGACAACGTGACGGGACAATAATAATGTGTGTGTAGATAGTGAGTAATTGAACTGCAGTCAGAAGTATTGTTGACGTTCGTTGATATAGCGTTTGTTATAGAGCGACTGTTGAAAATAAGTGTATCGTAAAGTTGTATTCGGAAAGAATAAACCAGTTTTATTAAGTAAGGACTTGTGTCGCTAAAGTTTCGTCGGAACAAAATTACGGAAAGTTAATTAACGAACGGAGACGTAACAACATTTTGATTGATTTTAATTGAAATGTTTGAGCAACTGAAATTATCGGTAGTATATGAACTTGGTGTGCCCAGTGTTTTATTTAGCTGTGATATAATATTTTCAATCATGCATCTTGAAACATTTAAAAAAGCAATTTTTTTTATTCTCTTAACTTATTCTCTTGTTCCAGTACAAGGAGCGTCTTAAGATGCATGAAAATGCAAACTGTAAATATACCAGGGAGAGGTGGAAAATAGCACCCAAGTGTTGAAACTATAAATTGCACAACCGCTAATTTTAAACTAGTAACTAAAAGAAGGTTCCTAAGAAGAGACAAAATGAAAACAGTGATGAATACTGATGATTAAAGTAAATGTTAGTTTTACCTAACTGGTCATTGTTTGTGTGTAGGATGCTGTTTTACAGATAATGTGCTGTCCATTACAATAGGAATGGCAAAAAAGGTAACACAGCTACAGATAAGTGTTGGTCAAACATAGTGCCAATAGGCCTGTGGATTGTGCAGATTAAGGGTGCCAAGGATATACATTATATGGGCGATTTTCGCATGAGCACATGTCAACTCTGTAGAAATGTCACTTGATCATAGTAACCTGAATACTACTCAATCTTTATAGGTAGTTTTTAGAGGGGAGTAATGGTCATAACCAAGCAGTTATGGACTATTTTAAAACTTACACATCAGATTGATCTTTTGACCAATTAAAATTCATTAGGCTTGCATTTTCAACCTAGAATGGTGCCACAAGAGATCATATTCTGGATGATTTTGGATATTGCTTTTCAAATAGACAGTGGTGTGCCCATTCACTTGTGTGCCAAAGTGATATCCTGATCAAGGATTGACATACTTCATGGTTTTAGCAACTATAATGCTAAACAGTAATTATGAGAAGGTAGCATGAGTGGATCACCTGCCAGTGAGGGTGTTCAATGTGCAGGATTTCTCTGAAAGGTTGCCAGCAGTGTCAAATGAGCCTTCAGCCCTTACAGTGTCAATGGAGGTGATTCCTCTGCAGAAAAACCTGTCCCCCAGGTCTACCGGCAATAAACCATGAAAGATGATAGCAGTTTTGACAACTGCAGGCTAAGAACATGATAGACCACAGGAAGTATCTTGCACTGATATGAACGTTATTGAAGTAGCCCTTTTGGTGTTATTTACCATGTTCAACTTGTGCATAATAGGGAGCTGGTAGAAGTCAAACAGTTTTATAAGACATTAAATTTAAGAATAGAATACTGCAGACTGTGAGATGACTGAATAATTTTAAGTGCTTTTTCTATGTATAAAAGGAAAGATGACAAGTATCTTAATTTCATAATGGAATTAGTTCCAGGGTGATGTATGTTTTATACATTATCAATTTAAATGCAACTTTTGTATAGATGTGTGCATATTTTGCTGAGTCTCTGTTGAAGTGTTTCTTCTTGTTTTGGCATTATAGAAATGTAGAGAAATTATTTTCAAAGGGTATGTTGCTAACTTTGCTCATTTATATATCTTACAAAAGCGTTTAATAAAATGTTGTTTATTAAATCATGCCTGTGGTAATTGATATATGTTTTTATTCTAAATCATAGGTATATTTCGTATTTTTCATAGTTAAATGGTATTTTAATTTTTATGTGTTTTGTATTTTTGAACTATTATAATGTTAAAGATTTTAAAAGGAATTTTATCAGTGTTAAAGGGTATTATGTATTGTATTTTGCTGTTTTATTTAGTATTTTCTATTGTTAAAGGTTTTCTATTAATGTTTATCTGTTTTATATGGTTTCTTTTCTCGCATTATTTTGTGTTAAATGGTTCGTTTTTGCATTTATCTTTATTATAATGGCTCATTTTTAGATTATGTACTATGCATTTGTTAAAGGGTTTTAGATTTTATAATTATTTTTGTTCGAGGGTTTATTTTTGTAATTATGCATGAAATTAACTGTTTAAGGGTAATTTTGTATTGGGTTTTTGTATCTTTGTTCAAGGGTTGTGATGTCTGTGAAATGTCTGTTTTTGGAAACCAAAAAGGATTAATGCAATTTTCGACCAGGGCAAATTTAAAATTTATTGGTGATAAATTAAAGTTAACTTGTCAGGTTAGAACAAGTCTGAGATAAGTAAGACAGGAAAATATGGTATATGAATGTACAATGTGTTTCTAATCTTATTATAATAATATTCTAATCTTATAATAGTTATTCAGAAGTTATTCTTTGTTTTGAATATGTGCAGGTTTCATATAACACGCGTTCAAGAAACCTGTTAAGTTGACCTTTCTTCAAATTACTTTTATTTCTTTTTTATTTTCGAAGTTGATAATGTCCATTATTATCCTTGAAGAACATTGTGTAATGCAACACTGTGTAAGGATGTCAACAGCAATGTACTACCTTAAATTATTGTTTGGATGATATCAAATGATTATGTATCTACCTATGTGTTATGAGAATGACCAGTCAAGTGGTAGTATATGTTGCATTGGGTAATTATGAGTAGTCTGGTCTGGAATATCATTCAACACAGAACTTAATTGTCAGTTGTCAGTCCAGTAATCCATTTAAAGCAATGGCCCAACGTAAGTAAACTGCAAGTGCACATGTTGTGTTTGTGCTCATAGTGTATAATAAACATTGTTCTTTTTTTGCAGTTTGGGTCCAGTCTCATTTCTTAAGTCCCCACTGAGACACTGGTAAGTCTATGTACTTACAATGCTAAAATAAATGGTTTGATTCCCCTCAGTTGACACAACAGATAGCATGATGTGGCTTTGCTATAAAAACACACACACATCCATTACTGATTTTTTTTTACACCGAATCAGTTAGTAAGAGATTTAGTAATACACCATAATAGATATCTTGAGTGAATCTCCTGTTACCTAGAAGATCTACCCAATAAATCTCTAAAATTAATCAGTTTCATCTGAATATACCATATCGCCAATGGAAAATATTATTATCCACCTTTACATAGCGTAATCTTATATGCAGCAATCTTTTCCAGGAGAAAACGCACATGACGCGAAAGGGGAACGACCCAGAACATTAGATAGCTAGAGTGAAAGGAATTTAACTATGTTCTATGACCGACATTATATTAATTATAGTATTTTGGCACTTGTGTATAAAGTTAAAATCATAAATAATATTAAACGTTAACTGGTACACAATTAAAAACATTTTATTTAGGCTTATCTATGGCCTTCAAAAAGTTGACGACTCTACATGTTTCGACGTTCCAACGTCATCCTCACTCCTCGTCATCGAATTCGAAGGATATAGTTATACGCTCTACGAAGCTGTTATACTATAACATATAATAGTTCTCTAGTCTATGGTTATACTGACTATTTTTGTTCATGATTGAAACATTGCAAAACATATATATCCATTTTCATTTTTTTTACTCTGATATTTCATCTTAATTTAAGATATAAGAGAATAAACGTTTTTACTGCCGATACTTGAAGAACTGAAGTATGGCGGGAAGCGATGACAAATTTCCTTGTAATGATTCTGGATCTTACAACCAAAATGGAACCTCAAATTCATCAGGAGGAAGTGAGACAAACGAAGAAATGATGCACGAAGAAAGCAACATAAGTATGTGATTGTTAATGTTTTACTGATTGCAGTTTTTAGTTTTAGCAAACAGTAAAAACTCAACTCTCATACTCAGTCATGTTGTGAATCATCAGGTGTAATAAAACAGTCACAAGTTTAGTTGCGTGAAGTTTATCACATGACTGTTGTAATTTTGCAAATTAATTTTGACTTGACGATTAGGCTTAACAGGTTTTTGATAGTAAGTGAAGCATTATTATAAAATGAATAATAATAATTAAGAGCACATGCACCGCATTAGTTTTTCTAATACTAATTAATAAATGTGTGGATTTTGTGTACTTAGATTTTCAATAGCATTTAATGAGGTGCTACATAAAAGATTAGCTAAGATTAAGAAAGTCACATTAGTGGTGGTTTGGGAAAGGCAAATTAATTGGATTGTTTGGTGGTTGTATAATAGAAACCAAAAGATTGTTATAAATGGAGTTCAATCAAACTGGACTTTATTGCTAGTGGAGTGCCTCAGGGGTCAGTTGTTTGTGCCTTTGCTTTTGTCTCGTTTACTTTAGTTTAATGATATTGGTAAGGGCATAAATTTTGCTAATTTCATTAAAATCTTAGGTATTTCCAGCTGTATGGAGAATGTTGAGGTACTACAGAATGAGTCAGAATTAATCCAGCCTTGATTATTTAAATATTTGTTGAGCCTTTCCCTAAATATACTGTATCAATCACAGCTGAAGGCAATTTAACTAAAGACAACTCTTACCCTACCAAAATTTATTTTTGTGATCCCCTTATCTTACTGTTCTCACCATAAAATATGAAAAAAAGATTACGCATCAATACTATCAATTCCCATAATAATCTTGAACACCTCCTTGTTCCTGTCTTGACATTTGGCTTACCTTTAGTGTATTTAAAGAAATCTTTACTATGTATAATTATACATGGACTTTTCTCAACATTAAAATACTTTTCTTTTATGTGCAAACTTTTGGCCCTCTTACCGGAGCTTTCATTGGACGATAATGTAATGAGTAATATGAATTAATTTAACTGTGAAACACTGCTTTAAAATAGGTATCTAGACAAAAATTATAACAATAATTTACATCTGATATTAAAGTTATTAACCATATAGAAATTATGATGAATATAGAAGATAAATCAATTACTTCAATATAATAAAAATAAGGAAAATACAATTATAGGTGTGTGTGTGTATATCTATCCATCTATATATATATTATATGTCAGTTATTTGATGATTTTTATTAAAAGAAATACAAACAAAAAACAAAGCAAGAAATCTTGGATCATGTTCAAAGTTTTACAAATAATACAGCACCTTGACTGGATGGTATATGGGTTGAAACATTAAACTTAAGATACAAAATTACACCTCTTAGAAGAAATGCTAACTACATACCAGGGAGCCAGAGAGTTTTCCATATAATTGGAGGCTGTACTTCTTTCCTTATTTAAAAAGGGTGATGTTAGGCACTGGATTAAACAGATATTGTGTGATTGGTATGTCATTACATTTTTCTTTACTTTCACTCACAAGTTCTTATAATTAATGTTTTTAATTATTACTAGGTATCTTTTTTGGCTTAAAACAATTGGCAAGCTATTTATTGATATTTTACATAACAGACATAATGATTAGGAAGAAACCTTTTTTTTTCTTTTTATCATGAGAAATCTTATTCTGTACTGAGAATGATTGAAACATTAATATCAAGTGTATTAAAAATATAATTAGTATTAGAACTTTCACAAGTTAAATAGAATATATTCAGAATTCAAAAATGCTGGGCCCTAACTTTTACAGACAACACAAATTAACTTTTGAACTCAACAGTATAACTGTGAAACAAGAATTTAGAGAAAAGAACCAGAAAGAAAAATGTAACTTTGTAAGTTATCACAATATCTACTTTACAAAAACTTTCAAACTTCTTGATTAATTATAACTTGCCTACTAGCTCCAACTAAGTTTCAAGCGATATCCAATATAAAACTACAATTCTTAGCATCTGGCCCATCATTCTTCAGTTCTCTCTCTTTTACTTGCTACCAGACAATAAAATTACAGTTCAAAGTTGTACAACTATTGGCTGATGATAAAACGTCTGATCCACTAATATACCCAGAGTGATAGACTGATTTAAAAATGGTAATAGTTACTATGACAAATACCTCGACACCACTCGGTGTTAATAATTTTGTCTGTGAGAGTATTGTTTCAATTAATTTTAATCGGGTGTGAGCTGGCATTAGGCATAAAGAAAGACGAGATAGCTCAGCTAAACGACAGGGAAAAAAGGTTTGCAAAATAAACATGATAATGATGTACAAAAAAACATTCTTCACATTGTTTTACATAGTCCTGTACAAAAATGTGTTGCATGCCAAGGTGAAGGGTTGGTTATTTCCAGTTTTGATAGATTTGCTTGAATAATTGACTGTTCGTCATCAATTGCTGTCTTATAAATTAACAGTTGGTGCTATGGGTTAGAAAACTATAAGCCTATCAGAGAGTGATACAGAAAACTAATATGGGTGACAGTAATCGAGTTCAAATAAGTTGTACGGGGTGCTCAAAGAAATAAAAACAGTAGATAATTTGAATTGAGAAAACTATTAGGTGCTTTTAAAAAACTAATAGGTACTTTTAAATATTTTGTTATATTTATGTGTATCTACTCAGATGGGTTTTGGGGTAAGACAAAATATAAAAAATGTGATAAAGAGAAAAAATCTAAATAAAATTTTCCTTTGTCTTTGTTTTTATTATTATTTTATAATTCACTTTTTATTTGTGGCCTAACTTTTTCGTGACATGACTTTTTTGAATTTGGGTACCACAAATTTTGTCCTCAAAAGTGGTAACCACTCCCAAATTTTGCCTCTATTACCCCCCACATATTACAACATGTGTATTTCCAAAGGAAATCTTGCTTTAAATCACCTGAAAGACCAACTCAATCATTTTATTGTAATTTTGATTGTATGATTAATCCATTTTATGTGTTTTTATGTAAGTATGAATGAACTCGTTAATGGAGTGAATGAACCTGTGAAGGTATATTTGTGAATTAGTGTTACAAAGGTTAATTCTTATATGATGATAAAATTGTTAGGATACAGTTGTACGTTCAAAATTGCAAAATATGTTTGATATTTTGTGAAATATTTCAATTTAAGGGGACTATAGGCAAATCAAAAACAGCAGTACTATTAAAGACAGTAAAAAATGGTATTTTAATGGAAAGCAAATACAAACACATAAATTTCCAAGTAACAAATAATGAAAAACTGATCAAATCTTAGCTCTTTTGATCATTTCACCTATGAAAATTATTAGGGTGTATTTGATTGTGGTTAAAATCATTAGGGTGTAATTGATTGTGATTTACCAACTTTTTTGATATTAAATATTTTATACTATCTCAAACAAGTGTTTATATATATATCAGCGGTGGCCAGAAATGAAGTCACAAATTTTTTAATACCCAAATACAATGTAAAGTAATACAACAACAAACGTTTTTAAGTTAGGTTATTTATTGGAATAATAGCATGCTGCATGATATCTTTGTGTTTAAAAAACTTGTAAGAGTATCTTTTAAGTTTACTCCATCTTAACTTATAGGTTATGAAGTGCTGAATGAAACTTTGGACCAGATAAACAGTCACTTAGATTTTTTGGAACGCCAGAATGATACCCTAAATTCACAACTTAGGGAACTGTTAGAATCAAATCGTCAAGCTCGCATGGAATTGCAAAAACTTCCAGAAAAAGAGAATTATACGACTGAAGACACTTCAAGAGGATGAACTTCTTTATTGTAGTGAAGTTTAAGTTATCATTAAAAACAACAACATGTATTAATGTTAAGTCTGACTGAAAGTTAATAATTAGTAGAATTATATCATAGGCTATTAATTTATAATTCTGAATTTCACCATTAAAGTAATTAAACTGTGATACAAGTTTCTGTTTCAAAAAGTTAATATCAATAATTATAAGTTATTCAAAACAAATAAGAGCTACTTATTATGTTTAATGATTGTAGTGTAAGATGCGATGACTTACTTGAGGGTAGATAGTTATTTTTTAATGTTTGTTAAAACTGATCGGATAAACACCCGAATCAAGATATGACATTATCAGTCTAGCTATGTAAATGTAATATGTATAATTATGTTATATTTTAGGGTCTTTTCAGTTTCCATACTCGTGACATTATTCAAAATATATATATATATGGATATATCATATCTTCTGTGTAATTGTTTGTTTGTGTGTGTGTGTGTGTGTGTATATTAGTTGAATCTAAAATTATGGTATTAAGATTTATCACTGCTATATATATAACATAATGTTAATAAACATGGATGTGTGATAGCAGATTGTCAGTGTTTTTTGTGTCAGATCGAAACAAATTTTGATTCTAGTATCTATATTTATAAAAATCATGAATTACTTCAGTAATGAAATGCCTACAAAATAATTACTTGTTTGTGAGGTATTCTTACATCAAGTGCCATTCCAAGACATGCAATTACTTGTTTATTGAGATATTCTTACATCATCAAGTGCCATTCCAAAACACGCAATTACTTGTTTATTGAGATATTCTTACATCAAGTGCCATTCCAAGACACACAATTACTTGTTTATTGAGATATTCTTACATCAAGTGCCATTCCAAGACACGTATCATTAAAGCAAAATAACAAAAAAAAGAAGATGACGTTGAGAAAAAAAAAAGTAAAACATGAATGTAAGACTGTAAATATTCACTTTTTTGGAAGACTCGAGACTATGAACAGTTCCACTAATATTTAATTTTCTGGTGATTCAAAATATATTTCTATATTTCAACTATGTACTGAACTACTATTTTTGGTATGGATTGGACCTATTATAGAGCTCTAGATTTTTGAACTGGTAGCATGGGTTCAAATCCTTATAGTACCACAAACTTTTTCCCATGCATAAAGTTGTAGGTGTATCATAAGAGTGAAAGTCAACTCCTTAGCATTGTTGATAGGTGTTAAGGTGCTTTCAGCTTGGATGCCTTTTGAGGCATAAAAGTATTTAACTTGCATATTTAAAAAAACTTATAAGAGTAAAGGGTAGCATACTTGCAAATATATAATATGGATATCAGGTATAGAATAATATTAATTCATTACAAAATGTTCTGTCTCTGATTAAACAAAAATCACTGTTCCTATCTGTATCTGGTGTGGTGGAAAATGTTATATACCATCCGGCATATGCTGGAAATATCATTTTGTATAATAAGTGTTGTTAAGCCAAACACTATCATCAGTTATCATGTTTATTTTAAAAAAGATTTATCAATTAATTGTTTTTAAGAGAACTTGGATGATAGGTGGTTTATCAATGCATTTTCTTCAAGACCCAAGGAAAGTTTGTGTAAGTATATTACACATTCCTCTCTTACCCTAGTTTTTCTGGCAGGCTGCTTGTAAACAATTCTCCACTATAATTATTTGTTTACCAGATAACTTGTTACCACTGATATGACAGTAAACAATGCAACAGAAAATGAAATTTCTTTCATTGTTATTGAATGTTTCCCTGGTACATCTGTTTTTATATTTCACAGTGTTTTATAATGCAAATCGACTTATAATGTTTTAGTTTTTTCTTTAATAAAAGCAATTGTGCCTTTCTAGGGCAAATGCTCAACTGGTGGAAGAAGTTGCATTGTAAAGGTTGAGCATGTTGCTTTCGATTATTAGGTATTAATTATATAAAATACAGTCCAGCTAGCACTAATGAAAGCAATTTATTTCTTCGACTGTAACATGAAGTTGAACACGTTATGTTTATATTGATAAGCCTAACTCTGTTTTTTTAAAATGCAAAACCACATAGAAGGCTATCTGCACTTCATCCATTTTAGAGAATTGAACCCAGAATTTTATATTTGTAAAACTTGCTGCTGACGAGGACTTGTCTTAACTCGTAAATAAAACTAAACAGTCTTTTTACTTACAAACACTCTGCTTTGTTGACATAAAAATTCCAAATTTTCAGTGATAAACTGACTTACTAATTTACTGACTAGTTTGTTACCTCTCTCATGTTTTTATATTTCACATTATTTTCTCCCAATTTTCAGAAACTTCTAGACGTCACATCACCTTTACTTTGTGCTAAAACTCTTTCTTTTTAACAAACAAAGCATCTACATTAAAGTATTAAAACAATAGCCTACATCAATAGTAATCAGGCAGTCCATTTTTTAATATTAAGTATAATTTGTGAAGTAAAAAAAATAATAATTTTTCAAAATGAAAAATAATTCTAGCGATTATTTATGTTAGATATACAATTTAATTCGAAATAATAATAAGGTTTTTTTGACTGAGTTAGCGCAGAGAGCTCATTGTATAGTTCTGTGAAAACATAACTCGAAAACAAAGATAAAATATAAATTTTAGACAGCTTCATGTATCGTTATAACCACTAGATGGCAGGACAAGCAATAAAGGAGTAAGTAAAATATTATTAGCCGAATTAAAAATTTTCTGGAGGAGAAATATTAAAACGAAACGTTTTATAAAAGCATCATAGAACTAATTACATATGTATATATCCAAATACAATATGATATAATTTGGGATTGGTGATATCGAGCCCACCAGTGTTTTAGCGGTAAGTCACAGACCATTGTGTAACTTTGTGTTTCACAACAAACAAAAATCAACATATCGAATGAGAAACTTGTTTATTATATACATAAAGAAGATAACCTACTGTGCAGATTTCCGCTAAAACAACAAATATAATAATAATAAAAAAATAATATTTTTATTTCTTTCTAACTACACTGCTTTTTTTATTTGTCTTTGGAGAGACTACAGTAAACGTAGTATGATGTAAAACAAACCAAGACGTAGAGAAGAAATAATGTTAATACACCTATATTCGTCCAAATTTTAAATTCAGTTCGATTTTCGTCCACCAGTGGCATAGCGGTATTTCTGCAGACTTACAACGCTAGAAACCAGGTTCCGATACCTGTGGTGGGCAGAGCACGGATAGCCCATTGTGCAGATTTGTGTTTAACTACAAACAAACAAACAGTTCAATCTTTGCTACTTTGAAATGATAATATCTGCAGAAGTAAGCGAAAGTACATTAAATTATTACCAGTAAACGTTCATACCTAATCCGTTGATAACGTAAGTGATTAGGGAACTTATTTTCCAGGCATTTGTTTAGTCTAGGAAATATATGTTTACCTGTTTCTCATTGAGACCGCAGTGCCCATTATGATGTCATTATCTGAGCGCCATCTACTGAAAAAGTTAAACATTTTTTACCACTGCGTCACTGGTGACCAATATGTTTAGTAAATCAGATCTAAAGTTTACATTTACAATATACATAGCTATCACAACTAAATACTTTGGCTAGAGAACATCGTTATAAGAAGTTTAACATCTAGGACAGACATTATTATCATTTATTTTGACTTTATCTGTATATGACGTTGTCCCCTGGTGGTACAATGGGAAGTTTACGGACTTACAACGTTCATAACTGAGGTTCGAATGTCCGCGGTAGACACAACAGATAGCTCAATGTAGCTTTGCTTTAAAATAAATAAACTGTACATGATGTCCAAATTTCGTATTATAATCGTAACCAAGTTCATAAAATATCGCTTTCATCTACTCGTGATTTATATATTTTTTGGTTTATACTTTCATTTATTAGGTCTTAAGATATTTCAAGCTTCGCTAATCTGGTTAGCAGTGCGCAGAATTTGTATTTTTGCCTAAAATAATTTTCATCTCTAAAATAAACGTTAAAAATAAACAACTTAAGTAATTATCAAATTAAAACGAACCTACTGTACACAAAGTAAGAATAATATTTAACCTTATATAATACGTTTTCGAAAGCTTTTGTAATTTTGTTATATTATTTTTTTTAGCAAAAATATTTACTAAGTCTGCAATTTATAGTATATCTGTAGGTCTACCTTATAACGACAAAAAATATATACTAATCTTTTCTAATGACAGGCGTTTTTTAAAAATATTGACCATAATTCTTAGAAAATGAGTTTTCCTATAAAACCTTTACTGGTATTGACCGCTAGTGGTTAGCACGAGAAGACATTTAAAATATACGAATTGAAAATGCGAAGAGTATTGTGGTAACGCCACGTCTCGAACCTTAGATCCTTTAATTTCTAGACCGTTACGTTAACCACTAGGCCACACACCCTAGCTGAAAAAAAGAAGTTACTTTATTTGCAACATAAAAATTGAAACCTTTAAGAAAGTGTCAATTGAAAATAATGTTATAGACACTTATCAATACCCTAATACTATTAGAAGTAATCTAACTTCAAGTAACTCCAGAGTGAAACACAGTAAACAAGGTGTTTACGTCGTCCCTTGGAAACTGTATGAGAAATCTTACGTATGTCAAACAGGATGAAATGTTGACAAAAGAACCATTGAACATGGGAGACGTTAAAAACAAGAACAACACGAACAAATACTCGTGGAAAATAGTTTGACCATCGAATCCAATGAAAATCGACTAAGTTAATGTACAATATATAAAATTATGTAAAAACGAAGAACTGTCGAAAGTGTTTATCAAAATCTTGCCAAATTTTAACATTTCCTAAGTACACTTTAAACTGAATTATCTCCTGACCATTTGTGTCCTCAGGGAGATTCTGAGGTCTGGTATCACTTCTGTGAAGACACATTTTCCGTTTCAGAATACAACGTCGGACTGTAGAGGACACATTCATATTTTTTATTATATTGAATAATTTATTACAAAAAGTAATTATTCTTATCAATCAATTTGAATTATGGATACATTTTCATTGTCTCAAGTATCTACGCCTCTGAAACGTATTCTTTAATAATATATAACGAGCAATGGTGTCGCCAGACAAGACATTTATTAAAATAACAAAATGATAAAAACTCTATAACCCGAGCGCTTTCAAAATTTGGACCTTTCTTAT